GAGGAGAGAGAGAGAGGGAGAGAGATGTAGTTACATATAATTAATTTCATATAAACATAATTACAGATGATCATGTTAACTGACAGATATGACAAAGTGGAAATTCAACAAAACGTGTTCAATGGGAAGCTTACGGCTTGTACAGCTTACTACGGTGAATTGGCCAGGACGTAATTTAAATGAAGAAACAGACATTTTAGTTTACTTTTTTTCAGTTTCTATTTACCTGTCAGAACCAAAATCGTGATACTTTTTTCAGTTAAAAATTTTAACTCTACTGTGAGATTTGGAAGGATAATGTAATTTATACTTTACAACTTCCAAACTTCTATTAACTTACATTTTTTATGTACGTTCTTCCACATATACATATATAATTTTAATTTTTAATAAATATATCTCTGAGAGAGTATTCTTTATAATTTAAAGTTTTATTAAGATTTAACGAAATTTTTTAATGAACCGATATGCCAGAAATTTTTTCTTTATGATAAATTGTATTTGCAATGTTTATCATAAAATGAAACAAATGAAACACCGAATAATGGTAAAATAAAGTTTTTGAAATAGCATGAAAATAATGATCTGATGATAATTTAACATATCATGCATTGACATATACAACAAGTTTGTAATTTGATTGATTAGTAAGAATAACTCGAAACAATTTTTGTGATTCTTTTTCAACAGTTTTGTTAAATTAATTTTATTAAAATTATTAATAAATAAGTATTATACAATTAACATTTCTAAATTTAAATTAGAACTGTTTCCATAATGTTTATACATATCCAAAAATATCACATTAACATATTTCCATATTTTTATTGCTTGAAATTATTGAAAAAAAAAACTAATTATTGATATATGACTAGCTTTTCTTTGTTTGTCATCATAACATGCAACATTGTGTCATCATTTGTTTGAACATATTGGAGGACATTTTATTATTCGACATTAATTATTACTTTATGATTTGATGCTTTATAATTTCACGAATCAATATCAATATTTGTCACATTTGTCTCTTCAATGTCACTGGCTGTTATGTTTGTCTCTTCAATATCAATTGTTCTAATACTTCTTTCTTCAGGCTCCGCAGGTATCGTTATACCGCCAGTGTCTATACTTTCTTCCTCTTCTCTAGGAATCTTTAAGAAGCAATGCATCGTCTCGTCATCCTCTTGCTCAATAGTAGAATCATTTTTGTTTAAACTCTCTCTTGTTGATAATGAACCCTGAAGATGTTTCGACGGTATCTGTATCGTGATTGTTTGAGAAGTACCATCAGCGGACGTTGAGGAAGACATCAAATTAGCTTCTAACGTATCCCCGTCTTTCGAAAAGGCACCTAAACAACTATAAACTAATTGCGCCGCCGCAATATTGCCGGGAAAGACTTCGACATTCTCGTTATCTGCGTGTAAAGAGATTAATGGAGAAATTTAAATAAAGACATCTATTGAATCAGGCACAAGCAGTTTCAACAAATCTCAAGCGTTACCTTTTTTCTGCACGTTAGATTTTATTAAACCCTTTTCATGGTCTCCTAAGTGCTGGATGTAACTTTCATTTTTCACAGTCTTGAAAGGACAGAGGTCGCATGTAAATAAGCCAGACAGTAAAGGATGCTTCGATTTCAAATGGTTCTTATAACTGCTGCTCTGTATCGCGGTATATGAGCAATGTGGACATTTGTACGGTCGAAATCCTGTGGTATTAAAAAATCAAATTACTTCTCTATAACGGTTAATTTTGGACATGATACTTACCCGTGTGTTGCATAATATGCCGTCGTAAGGTATTATGATCTCCAGTTTTGTAATCACAAATCTCGCAGCTGAAGGGCTTGTCACCCGTGTGCTGACGCAAATGCATTTGCAACATCGCCCTTCTGGCGCTAGCATGACCGCAAACGTTACAAACGTACGGACGTAGCTTGGAGTGTACTGCTTGTATGTGATTCTTTAAACACTTCGAGTTCGCATAAGTTTTACCGCATATTTCGCATTTCTTTGAAGTGTACCACCGAGTTGCCTCTAACGTTTTGCGATCTAAATGCATTATACGGTGATTGCGTAACTGGCTGGCTTGCTTGAAGCATTTCTCGCAATCAGGACACTTGTAGTCACGGCTATCGCTGTGCACTCTCATGTGCGTCAAGAGTTTTACTATGGTAGCGCTCTTGTAGACTTTACAAATTTTGCAGGTAAACAAATCTATGTCTGTGAAAAAGTGACTGCGTAAGAATGTGTGAATTCTCTTAACTTCTTATATTATTACATTTACGAACCGATTTGATGCTTTTTCCATAAATGCAAGCTACATTGGCGCCACTTTGGGAACTTCATATCTCGACACACGCTGCATTTGAATGTCGTTGCAGTTTCAGATTCTGTATGGCAGAGAACATGCTGCTGCATAATTTCCTCCGAGGCGAATTTGTATGGACAGCCCTGATAAGAACACCTTGCGAAGATTGCACGTTGTTTAAAAATGATACGTAAGAAAATAGGTTTCTTCTATATGCAATATATACATATATATTTTTTTTTTGTAAAATATACCTCACATTTCTTTCCTCTGACTCTATCATTTTTCTGTTATGCATGTATTCTGAATCAAGTTCTGACTCAAGGTTCTGAATCAATTTCAAGGTCTTCGAAATCTTTACTGGACTCTTTTCCGCCTCGCCGCTTTCGATATGTTGATCCTCGTGTTCAGTTACCAAGCCAGGATTCGTCAGATTTTCATCTGTCAAATTTTCTTTTCCAGCTTCATCACTCCCAATGTCCATTAATTGATGATCCTAAGGGGAAACATACTCTATCACATCGTTCGGATAAAAGTAGCCTACCTTTGAAAAAAATTAAATTTAAGATCATTACATTAATCATGTGTTCTCTACAGTCCTCAAAAGAATGGAAGCAGTTGGAACACTCCGCACACATATAAACTATTCTTACTTCATCCACTTTAGATTCGTCCTTTGGCTATATATAATAATAAAAGTAAGCCAATTTTTATATAGCGTTATAAGCTTCTGCTGAGCAAAATACAGTTACTTTGATTAAGATTGCGAACTACAGAGCCTAAGTCTAGATCGCTACTTACTTTAACGTCTACAGTAGAGTTTAAATGTAGTTTCTGAATGTGATCTAACAATTGCATCTTGTCCTGAGACAGGTAGGTGCACATCTTGCATTTGAAAGCAGTCACAACTTCTAAGAAATCGTCGAAGTTAACGTTACTATCGTCCTCTGCGACGAAATCTTTTACCGCCTCCTCCTTTGTAGCGACCTCATATTGCTCCTCGGGTTGTCTGTACTTTGTGGGCCTTTCGATTACCATATCCTCATTGGTGATGTAGTCAGTCTCGTTGCTCTCCGTGTCCTTCGCTATCAAGAACGACGTTTCGTCGCAACTCGTCCGTTCTACAGCCTGATTGGTATCCACCTCTTCGATCACTCCATCCTTAATCGCGTACAGCTGTCCATTCAGACACACGATCGAGATCGGTTCTTCTCCATTGTCCAACTCACTTCCCTCCTTGGCAATGTCAATTGCATTTTGTTCTTCACTCGGATCTTTCATAATGTCAGTCGGTGACGGCGCGAGTTTGTAAATATATTTCGTGCCATTTATATCACAGCTCAAGTAGGATACATCTGTATTCGCTTCTTCGCTCATCGCCGATAGAGCTTGATCTGAATGAGCGTTAACACAAACTGTTTAGAGACTTTGAATGTTTGCACATTAACTTCGTTCTAGCAGTAAGCAAAATGTTAGCGGTATGTTAACAGTTTGCCAACAGGTTCAAGTAGAATATTGTGGCAGATTGACATATCTTTGATCAACTATCTTTGTACTGAGCTTATATTCTATCGAGGGAGCTTGTCAATATGTGACAGTAGATTAACCGAAATTGAATCAAATCTGTAATTTTGTAATCTAAATGTAATTTAAGTAAATATCACTTAAATTGTAATCGAACGAGATTTTGCGCTGTTTCTACAATCAGTCTGTCATCATTTTCTGTCAGCTGATCTGCTATACTTCTACTGGCATTTTGCCAATAAGATTAAATTTACAGTAGACACTTTGCAAAATCTGTTTTTCTTTTTAACATATTATTTGCAACCTAAGTTTTAATAATCAACTAACTTGAGATCTGTAAAATCTGCCATAATATCCTCTCTCCTATAGTTATTAAAAAAAATATATCAATTTTGTGTTACAACTTATATAAGTTCTACTCTATAAACAGACTACTAATATTGTAAGTTCAAACTTAGAGTTTAAACTTACCGAGACGATAACAAAAGGGCGATGAATTATGCAGTCTCGTGTCAATGTTTCCTAATTATATCTATATATCACAGAATACGTGTAAACATCGAAATGTAAAATATCAACACGGAATAACGAGGTTATCTCTGCGAGGCAGTAATAAGCAACCTCTCGCGGGCGATAATTAAATCCCCCTCAGCGTCGACGGATCGAGCATTACGCGCGACGACGTTGAAGCGAGGGCGACGTGGAGAGACGTGATCGCGAAGATATTCGAACTATAGGTATTCGAATTCGAAATCGTGTCTCTCGCGAGGCACCTCGCACGACGGGCGTCTGGTTCGAGATTTCCGGCTACGCGCGCGAAGTAGCGTGGAAGGATCGCCGGTGAAGCGACGCGCGCGAAGACACGAGGACACGAGCTCGATGACGAGGCGTTCTCTGCCTGGAGCGGAAGCTGCCCTACATCACACCCTAACGTAGAGAAATACGCGGGAGACAACCAGGACACAGCTTGAACATACCCAACATTTGCGACAACAAGCGTCGGCTTTTGATGCGCGATCACATGACTTACCGCCATATCCTCGGTTGCGGAAAGCGCCAAATTTCAAGGCAGAATTATGTCATAAAAGTTAAAAATATTAAAATATTAAATTTAAATATTAATTATCAGAGATGGAAAAAGGAGCACTTTTGAGAATGTATATTTTGAACTTCTAATTACACTGTAATTTATAAAATATAAAAAATACAACAGAAAACAAAAATTAAATATATTAATATTTTAAAATATATTATATATATTTTGTTTTACCTTATTAAAAAGACTATTTTATTTACAGATTAATGCAAATTAATATAAACTGTAATCTGACAAAATGTAATCTAGATGTTATACATTATACATATATTTATTAGGATTTTATTTCATTAATAAAATAAAAAATGTGTGTACATAAGTAAACATCTTTAAAAGTATTTTATCCTTATTATTCTGTTCAAAAGTTTTTAAATTACACTTATAAATAAATTTAAAAATATTTAATTGAAAATTTAAAAACACTAAATATAAATTGTAAAAAAAATAATAAATAAAATACTGTGTTTAAAGTCAACAAAAATTTTTAAAAACAAAATTCTAAAGCTATATACGTATATTAATATTAGCAAAGAGAAACGGGAGAAGTTAGAAAATGGATATGCCCACGTTTTAAGTAAAACCTTCAATCATGTAAATGATCGTATTTGTTATTCCTGGTACAGCCGAAATGATTGGTAATGTTATCGTTTTTCAAGTACTCTCGGGCCTACTAAATAGTCATGAAAATTTGTCTTTGACCGGCTATCTTCATTAATTATATACGCCTCATACGATGAGAAGTTCCATTTAAAACAGGGGCATATCCACTCTCTATGCCATGGACAGTACATACGTGATTAGTGACAAATTGTGAAGAATTGAGAGAGATATATATATTTATTAAAATTAGGCCGAGAAAAATATAAGAGGAATTAATTATCTTCCATTCCAAAATATATACGCAAGGATATTCATATATACATATAGATAAAAGATCGATTGGGTCAAAGAAGGTATGTTAATATTCTTATGGATTATATTTGACGAACAATAATATGCCAAGATTATTCTTATCGATATTTCTGATCAATTTCTATAAAAGCTATTTGATTAAGTATGATGTTTGCATGCATCAGTTTTCTTTTCTTTAGCCATAGCAGATCATAATATTGACAATCACTCCAGAGAAAGCTATTCTATATCTGTGGCATTGCCAAAAAATTACTAGACTAAAAATTTTTTGTTTTTAAATTTCTCTTAATAAATGACATGCTCTGGGAAATAATTAAAATAGTTTCTCATTAATTAACTTTTTCTGAGCAGTTTATATAATAACAATTTAATAACAACTTTCTAGACGTATTTTATATATACATATATATGTGGTGTATGTGTGTGTGTAAAATTACAGAGTAATAGATAATAAAACTATAATTATAATACAATTCTTCAGAATTGACATGTAGAAATACTAATATATTTTAAGGACTTGTTACATTTTGTCTAGAAAATTTCGGCGTTCTCTCTGCATTTTGTCTAGCAATTTCGGGGAAGAATTGCGAGTTATATTTCTGTTTTATGGCAAGTTTAGGAGTTTCCGGTACCACAACGGGCATCGGTTCACCTCTCACTTTCGCCAATAGTGCTTCAGTCCTCAGCTTTTCACTTTGCTCCCTGAGTAATCTCTCTGCTCTTAATTTTTCTATATCCGTACTACTCTGACTCTTAATTTCTTCCTTCTCTGAATGTTTATGTTTCTTCTTCTTGTGTTTTTTGTTCTTTTTATGCGCACTGTGCCTTTCATCGGAATGAGAACCATCAGAATCGCAATGCTTCCTTTTCACATCCTGTGTCTTCACTTTTAAATGATCTTCAGTAGATTCAGAACGCATAATCCTGAGATACTTCTTCATATCAATCATTGGATCGTCCAAGATTTTTTTCTTTACCCCTATCTCTACATCTTTCTCTGTGTCCGTTAATCTCTTTGGTAATTCCTCGTACCAATTTTTCTTACCAGTTGCTTCGTTAGTATCTTGTCCCAGATACGTCAGATATCCAATTTGCTTCTCATATTTCTCTTTCTCTTCCTTCTTTTCCTTCTCGTGTTCCGCGTTAGGTCTACTGTAATCAATCTTTCCATCCTCGAGCTCCGCGAAGAAGTTGACGTGTTCCAACTTCTTGCTGGTAGAACTGGTTTCAGTTTTTGCCCGACCATCGTACTTGGATCTCGCTTGATGTCTTAACAAATCTACCCTCGCTTCTGTTTCCTGATAAAAAAATAAAAGCAACAGTTTAATGTAAAATTAAGCGTATGCATAATAATGTCAAGAAATGATTTTTGATAGTGAGGTACAAAATCTACGTCGGAATTTGGAAAGATAATTTATCACGTACTGCTTTCTGAATTCGCAAGTTTTTAATCCTCTCTTCTTCCGCAGCTTCTGCCTCGTCTTTCCGTACCCGAGCGATGTTCTCCTTCGTTCGTACGTGCCATCTGAGTGAATACAAAACGAACAATTAGTTTCAAGATATGCAAATGCAAGAATGCGTCTGCCTTACCTTTTCTTCGGTAAGATATTCATTGTCAGGGAAAATAATCCTCTTGATTAACAAAATCAGATTGTAGTCAATAAATCTTGTGGACAAGTCGAAGGCGCAAATCCACCACCCATGTGTAGAATAAATAAAAACCCCTCCACAAAATCAGATTGTTGTCAGATCTCCGGAAAATCAGATTAAATCTAGTTGTCAAACGTCAGCTGATCGCTCCGATCTAGATGAATAAAGTGAATGAGGCGAATATAAACAAGTTTTCGAGGTTACTTTCGCATCAAACCGAGGCCTGCGGTTGGCAACGCGCGATCTTCTGATTGGCTACAATTGGACATGTAAATGAAACCGTGGAATTTTATCTTTCGCAGTTGGTAGCCCGTGAGACCGCATTGCGCGTGATTGGCGTGATTGCTTTAGAATCTTCAGATCGGACGTTTCGTTTCGTTGTAGTTGAGGTTAAGTCAGCACACAGTGTGCGCGAAGAATTTTTTTATTTGCGCTTCTTAGAGGGTAAGTAAATGTATACGTTTTTTTATTTATGACTTAATATACTCTTTCATTGAAATATGCCACAAGAAGTGCTATTATTTTATTACTATATACTATACGTATCCGTTTAACATAACCCGGCACACCGGGAGATGCTATTCACATAAACGCATTAAAATTAATATTTTAATGTATTTTCAGAGAATTATCATATCGCAACTATTCTTTTTTTGCGAGCAGCATAAAACAACGTATATATTCTATACATTTTTTTATTTAGTTCACAGATTTGACATCATGGCTGCGACGATGCCAATAAATCCCAAGCCATTCCTGAATGGTTTGACTGGGAAGGCGGTCATGGTGAAGTTAAAGTGGGGCCACGAATACAAGGGCTACCTCGTCTCGGTTGACGGATACATGAATCTGCAGCTTGCGAGCACCGAGGAGCACATAGACGGCAATTGCACCGGAAACCTTGGCGAAGTACTGATCAGATGTAACAACGTGATGTATATAAGAGGAGTGGAGGAATCGGATGAAGAGGGCGAGATGAAGGATTGAAGTATGACGTAAATCTAAAACTTCAATGTACATTATATAATTAAACATTGTATTATTAAGCATTAATTTAATTTAACCAATAAAACGAAATCATTTTATTTCTTACAAGGTTGTACGTAAAAAACGTAAGTGGTGTTCACGAGCCTGCTGGCTTAACATGATTTCGGTACATTGGTCACTATAGGCTTTGGTCTTGACTTAAACAGGAGCTTCTTCCTCACGATAGCCTTCACGAAGTATTCTGTCTTCGCCGTAGCTTCCTCCTCCATCGTCTCATCTCCCGTATCACGATGTCTCTCCAAAACAATCAGCGGTTTATCGAGCCTTATCTCTTTCCCGTGCAACACGTGAATTCCAATAATTAGAATAGGCACTCCAGCTTTCGTGAAGTGAAGATCGCCGATTAATTGATCGTCCGGATTATCGATCTTTTCGAACTTTAGATCTCCTTGGAGGTCTATAATGGCCCAGGTTTCTATGTTTCCGTCTCTAAAAAAATTAACATACAGACGTCGCGAAAAATTGACATACAGAAAGACATTTATTAGTTCTTCATAATAAAATTTTATAATAAAATGTAGAACCGGCGCAAAGGAAGCATACATGAGGATAGATTTACCTTTTAATCGGCACGATCATCTTCGCCAGGTTAGGTCTAAATAAATGGCGCCAAAAATTACATTCGTAAATCTATCTGTAAGGAGCGAACCGTAAATAATCCCTAGAAACTAGTGAGAAGTTGAATTGAGAATCCACGAGTTCTGGCATGCGGAAAGATCATCAGATTGCTTCGTCATTTTTGCGCATTTCAAAAGGCCGAAAGAGAAAGCATTGCAATGTTTCTGCGACTGAATGTATATGTACTCTCTCCTAGTTTATTGCTATTAAATACATTTTTCATTAAAAAATCTATGAAAAACATAATACTGTGACAATTAAAAAACATGATTGTAACAATTACAAATAATATATAGTATTTTTTATATTCTTATTCAAACTCTTGCGTGAAATGTATAATTTTAAATTTTAAAGAATAATTAAATAATATAATATAATAAATATATTACATATTTTCCATAAATTTTGAATAATTTTATCAAACATTTGTAATAATATAATAAATATATCTATATTATATCCATGTGAAACTAAATTCTAAATCTCAAAGTCTAAAAGAGAACTTTCGATTAATTTCGAATAATTTTATCGGACTTGTAGAATTTACGTAATCGTGTATCAATTATAAGGAAGAACTATATATTAATACATTAGGAGAGATTTATGATAGCGAAGCTATATATGATGGAAATAGGGATCAATTATAGATTGTATTTTAATCTGATGTCACGTATATTTGTATTTCTATTTTATTTCCGATTCTCTTCTCTTCACACGGAAGTAAGTACATTGGACGTAAATCACAGCACATCTCCGCTCGAATAAACACTCATGCATCGACTGCAAATAGCGTGTACACGTAAAAGTACAAATAAACGTTCGTAGGTGCGCTTGTTATCGAGAATTACTGTCGACATGACTGTCGTGTGACTTTTCCCGAGATTCGTATACTTAAAAATAAAATTTGTGCCTGCGGTCACACAACGCTTTACAGATACGCTTATCGATCCCATCCTGCGCGTCTTAAATTAAATTCGTCAAATCTCGCGCGATTTGGTACGTGGATACAATGTGATACAACATACAAAATGTATACAGGTCTTGAAATGACTTGAGAAATGAATGGAGATTCGTTGCAGGAAGCGATTTCTGTGAAATGAGATTCGGTGCTCGATCGTTTCTTTGCGTTTCTCTAACGAAGTCGGTATTAAGAAGTTTGCAAGATTATAGGAGATCGTGGATATTTCACAAATAGATTCTCACCCCTTTCCTCTTTACATCCGGGAGCGAGTTTTGTACGTGTATGCAGTAATCTTATATATGGCCAGAGCTTTGATTATCTATGTGACGCGTCAATTGAGAATTAGGCGATAAAAGATTGCGGGAAAGATGCGCTAAGGCAATATCGCTCGCAAAATTACGCGTGCGTAAATCGTTTGCGTAATGTACATGTGCGTGTACGTACGTACATGATATATTTATAATATGTACAAAAATCTTTTATATATGTATATATTATATATATAATGTCTCCTAGGAATAGTACAAAATATTTGAGGAAGATAACTGCGCGGTAACGATCAGAGATAGGAAAGTGATACTTTCATTCGTGTTACTCTAAATTATTATGCCACTTATCTCCGTCTACAATCTATAAATCTTTAACTCTTCGTACGAAATGTACATTCTTCGACGAGAAGTGGGAATAAACCTATTGAGGAGAAGATGAGAAGGTTCTACGCGTAAGTGTGTTCTCTTACATGGTTCGTTTCTCTCTCGTTCGTAAAAAGCATTGGCCTCTAACGTTAAGATAGCTTTACCTTATCTGGTAATCTTTCTAATTCCGGATCGCGTATTATCTACATTCGTGAGAAATACGGTATTAAATATATTCTTCCTATTTGTGATATTAATAAATAATTCGTAATAATATGTCATTACGTGAAAATGATTTTTTGAAACAAAAAAAATTATAAAACAAGAATGCTGTTTTCAGAATAATTTAATTCAGCAGTCCAGAATTTGTAGTTTTGAGCTTGAAATTGAAATATGTTAGGGTTTATGCCTATGTATATGTGTGTGTTGTTACACTTCACTTCATAGTTGGTTTTTCGTAGCACGCGAGGGTCTCAGGAATGAGACTAGTTCAAGATCACATTTAAAAAAATATTTTGACATATCTCATTTTAAAAAAACATCCACAATCCTACCTTACACGAAAAACTGTTGACAAACTTTAGATAGTGCTATTAATCATATATAGCCATTTTGTTATATAATTATAATAAATGCATATATAGGTATCGATTATATATACATATTTAATAAACATGTACATAATTATATTTTTTATACATATTATTCTACATATACATATATATGCATAATTATATATTTTATATATAAATATGCATATTATTTATAATGTATGTATATTATGTATATAATTTATGTATATATATTTATATATATTAATATATATGTGCTTAATATAATTATATATAATAATTATATAATTATTTTAATGAGACTGGTTTCAGATCGTTAAAAGTTTTTGACGTATGTCATGCACTGTTTAAAAGTCTATTATCTAATATTATTAATCTTAATATAATTTATATATATTAATTATACCTTTTAATATTAGACAGTAATAATATATTCTTAAACAGTAAATGACATACATCAAAAACTTTTAACGATCTGGAAGTCTCATTTTCTTCGATCGAACATCGCGCACTAGAAAAAAACAATTATGAAGTGAGAAGTAGAAACGACAATGAACACCGACACATTTCAATTTCAAGTCCAAAATCACAAATCCTGGACAGCAGAATCTTAATTAATATATTTCAATTTGTTTCAATTCCATAAAAAATTGTAGTTATAAATTTAGCTGAAATCTTTGTAAAGATTATTATAGAGATCTTGACGCATTAATTTGAAACATAAGCCACAGAACACAAGTATATTGAATCTTTTTTTTCTTTAAAGTGTTAAGATCGATATAAAAAAAATTGATTACAGATTTAACTACCTCAGCGGACGGATAGATTTTATGAAAGCGAGAAGGAGTTCCCATAGTTTATAGAGAAGTGTGATCATATGAATTTTTATATTATGATATTTTCGTGAAAATCGCCTAGAAAAGCATAATAGTAACAGTAGCATTATTTATGCTGTCTCTATTAAAAGCTAATAATTAATAATAGTTAGCTAAATAGTAGTGTAGGTGCTTTTTTTATGTCTGGTCATATATCGAAGGTTCTCTATAATATAGAGTTTGATTATTCAAGAATTAGAAATTTTTAAAGATAAGAAATTTTGAGGGAACATTAGATATCTTTGTATAAGATACGTTAATATCGTGAGGTGATGAGAGCGAGTAAACGAATGCATTCGTTCGTATGCTATCTTCTATATCCCCGAATCACTAACATGTTCCATTTTGAATGGAGTTTTCTCTACTGTCAGTATAGAATTCAGATGTAGAACCAATGGGAAGAAAGCTAATGATATTCTTATTAATATAATATTTATGATAGATTTATAATTGATAGAGAGGTGTTATGGCATGTGAAATTTCGTTGATTTTATGAAAAATTGTATATATACAATAACATCTATGTCGATGTACATGATAATATCACTTTGCGAACAATCAACAGCGTTATTTTAAAAGATTATGCACAATGACTTTAGTAATTCATTAACAATTTTACGCGTTAAATTATAGTCACAATCATGATAAAGTTTTCAATTATCTTGAAAATCTTTTTAATATTTTGCAGAATAAAAATTTTGTGTTTGCCTATTTTACAAAATGTATACAAGACGTTTTAAATATAAATCATACAGTTGTGATATTAAAAAATGTAAATACAAGACATATTTTTACTTTGCATAACAACTTATAGTTTTTTGTGATTTAGTTACAATCGCAATTTTTTAGTACTATACACTTCTTATAATACACTTCTGTTTTATATAACGTAATTTTTATATAAACATAATTGGAAATATTATAATTTACACTTAATGCAATTTAACACTTTACTGTTTCGTAGAATCTTCTCACAATTTTCGCGAGGTATGTCACATTGTAATGACAGAACAATTACTTGTCAGTTAATTTCTAAATTTCTATTTGTTACTTGTAGTTGAATTCGATTGAATGCACCAATACGCACTGGTACATAGTAAAAACTTTCGTGCATGAGGTGACATTAAAGCATGTGCATAATCGAATATATGATCGAATAGATCAGTGATCTGCTTAGTGCAGAATATATGTATACATATATATAATACAGAATACGTATGAATATGTATACGTGTGTATATATATATATATGTGTTTTAAATATATATTCTGTACTATAAGTATTTCATTAATCTATTCAATATACATATATATACATATAATATATATGTATATATAAATTTGGCAAGAAGTTATGTATATATGTATATACACTGCCAAATTTTCGTTGGTCAATATGTTTATATTTTTACATTTAAATTCAATAGCATTTAATCTGCACCAGTGCGCAAAAGCTGTGATTCAAATTACAGAGCATTGAGATTCATTATAATATATAATTCGGCCGAGCATGAGAGACGGTTGTATTAGTGCTAAAACCAGCTGATAAAGTGACGAGGTAATCTACAACAACAATCCGTTGATATCTCTCGGGATATAACTTTCCGATTAACACTAAATGCAACAAAGAGTTAATCAAAATAGTAAACGTACACGTAAGCGTCGTAAATGATTTAACATTTCCTCGATGCATTTTCCAGGAGCACTTTCGGAAAGAGCGTCATGCAAGATACTAAATGTCCGACGTGATTTTGATCGTTCGTCAAATAAAATGTACTTTTTTTTATTATAAAACCCTTATAAAATCTTTGTGAAATGCGTCACTTCTTCGAAGTACTAACTGGAGACGAAGGATATGCTTATCTAGTGACTATTAAACTATTTATGACGCTTGGTGTACTCTCTTTATCTCTTATATATCTTTCTCTAACGTCTTCCAAACACGTCGACAGTATTGAGCATTCGATAATCCACTTTAACTGCCTATATGTCGGCCTATGAAATGCATTGCGCGTGACGAAAGTTGGTTACCGCCGATACACTACTTGGAAGACTGACTCGAGATCTGAGATATCACTGCGGGGGTACCTTCACGTAAACGCACACAAACACAAAAATAAATTACATCTCCACTTCAGTCTCGCAATTCCGATCATGCAGCAGTCCGATTCTGCGGACTTGAAAATTACCCTGAGTGCATCGCTTTGGTACTCGAGAGAGGGAAGTCTTTTTCTTCTTCTTCTTTTTCTTCTAAGTGTGTACTTCGTTGGAAGAAGATAACGTCGATTTATTAAGCGATCGGTAATCGTTGATTCTGTTACATTCCGGCTCCGTCGCGCGCGCACCTTCGTCATTGAACACCTTGTGAATAGAATTTTATACTCCTCGGCGTACTTCCTCGGCGTAATTCCTCGGCATGTCCGACTCGGGGATAACTTTATTAGGAACGTCTCTTTCGGGGCTAGGACTAGGGCTAGGCGAGGAACTCGGCGATCTTGAGCTACTGGAGCTACTTGATCGGGCGCGCTGCTGCCGCTCCCGTTGAGTCTTGTAATCGTATAAAGGGCCGCGAATAATTTTCAACGTGGTCTCCAACTCGTACGCGCGTTCCTTCAACTGATTGTACAAGATGAGGTCGAGCCCGACCTTTCGCGCTCTTCTGTGAAGCACTATTAGGTGTCGCCTATTCAACACGTCCGGTAGCATGTATTCCTAAGTGAAGATACATGAAGAAAAATCGTGATTGATCGTATATCGCGTTACGTCGCGCGCGGCAGTCGAACGGTGCCGTGTCGTGCAATCCATTTCTGGACGATTTGCAACATTTTTATAGAAACTAACCTGTCGAGTCACGAGGTAATAAATAAACCACATCATAGTAGTGCCGTAAGTGACGAAGTATGTGACGGGCTCCATTATGTCCCACGAGTATTCCCACCAGGTTAATCTGGCCAACGCCCCGAATTGGATAGACATCATGACTAGGAACGTCCAGATATAAAAATTCGCCCTCTTGTAAGCGGCATTTTGTATCTCTTGCAATTTCTAGAACGATTAAGAGGGAACACGTGAAAACCCCCCTGCGATTGCCTCATCATTCACCGGTCGTACTTTGAGGTTTCTTTTGAGCGAGGATAATTCACGGCTACCGTCGTATTCTCCAAGTAATTGAGAAAATGAGGTCGGAGATGGATGAGTGTACCGGGTGGTATACCGTGAAAGAATTGAAACGGCACACCTTTTACCCTGCCTCGTTATCTCATAAGGAAAAGGGGGGAGAGGGGAGGGGAAAGAAAGACGCGGGAAACGCATTTCGCAGACGATTTTCTTCTTACGGCATTGCGTAACAAAGAGCGCGATGCGCGCACAAAGGCGGGATTAGAAAAGTATCGCTGCTCGTCTGATCGCGTGTGCGAGGCGCGCGCGCGAGTGTGCTAATTAGAACGCTCAAGAATATGGCAATTAAGAAAAGTTGTAAAAACCGTATAAGCGGGGACGCGGTGAGAGAAAACGGACAATGGGAGTGTGCCCGCGTTTAAATCCGATTCACGTGGAATAGAAAGCCAATTCGTTAGCGCGCCTTGTTTAAAGTTAACCATTAAATCAATTTTATCCTGACAAAATACCCTTCTCAGTACACTGCATTAATCCCGTATATAATATATATATCGCGATCTGTAGCACGATTACTCTTTCTCGCATTTTTTACCTGTTCCATTGGTACCAGCTGTAGCCTAATATTCTCCAGCTCGGCGACGACAGATCTCTCCATGTCGATGTGATATTCCCGCACGTGGAACGCCTCGAACAATTGCGCCACGAGCGCCTGCACGTCCCCGAGTTTCTGTAAATCCTCCTGTAAAACCGGGAGACATGAATACGTCGATACTACTGCGGGGACATGTGGTTCGAACGAGGGAAATCCCGCGTGACTCGAAATACGTTGCGGATAATATATTGCATTCGAAGTGATATTGTTAGAGAATACTAGTCGATCAAGTACAGACACGTGTGTCCGCAACTATATGTACACGCGCTTCGGGATCGTATTATAGAATAACATAAAGCCGAACAGAAGAACTTGTCTTTATGTGATAACTCACTGTCGTGCACCTTTCTTGCAACGGCGGCGAGACAATGAATTCGTTATCGTTTATTAATAATTTGAAATCCTCCTCTAAAAGCGACTCTATCGTGTTACTGGAGGCTATCCTGACGCCATCTGAAAAAACGATCAAAGGCCTTTATCTTTATGCAGTGTGTCATGCGAGGACTTTTAAATCTGGTTTCTCCGTTTCTCCGTATATGCATCGATTAATTGAATCAAAATTAATTAATTTTGCCGTTGAGGAAAAAGAACAATTTGTGTACGGCTTTGTTGTCTCACCTAGCGACGTTATGCACGCTCGATCAATGCCGCGGTCCTCCATCTTCAGCATATCTAAAAAATTGCCGACCGTGTGCGTAATCGGCTTCATAGTGAACGAGCAGTGTTCCCTCCTGGATGGCAGAGGCACCGTGATCCTGGGAAGTCCCCGGTGATACGCCACGCTGACACCCGGACCTGCATTAACACGCATTCATGCATCACACATTTGCCCCGCGTTAAAGAAAACGGATGTAATTTACCGTTGTGCACCGTAATGAATTTTCGCGTAATTAGCAAACCTCGCAAAAGTGCCTACGAAACTTGGTGCAGTAAATATACATTTTTTGTAACACACATTCCCGCTTTCTCTTATTCACTTTTTCAGCGTTTCTTTTCAGATTTTTCTGTGTTAATAACAACTTTAATTCGAATCTTCAGTGTTAATAACTATTTCCAGTTTCTAAATTCGTATTCGATCGCGTATATCACGCGGATACTTTGACTTGGCGAAAATGTAATACGATTTGCACGTGAGAAAAACACGCGTTCGTGTATACGATCGTTTCGTGAGTGTTTGCTGTCAAAAATTCGTGCAAGAAGTGCTCGAGTTCGGACGTGAAATCAACGCTACGGGCACTCAAGCCTACTTTTTCGCTCAATGGTATCAAACTGTCGTGCAAGCCAACAGCATTATCGCGCAGAATTATTTTTACTTATAGTTACTCAATGTTAATTTTTTAAAGCATCGGTTAATCGATATTTAAATCAATTTATTCCTGGCGATTTGATTTAAATAACATATTATTATTGATTTTATGCAATAATTAAAATTATAACGTAGTCAGAACGGAACATAATGTTCCGGTGAGGCAACAGAAATGTACGAAATATGCAATTATAAGAACACGCGTTAACATTAGTTACACGCTACATACTCGCCTCATATTATATATAATATATACTTCATATATTGCACCATATATGAAGTAAGTCCGGAAAACATTTCCGGCTTTAATAAAACAAACCGTCGGACAGTATTTTGGTAAAAATTCTATAGTTTTTTTAATTAACTGATACTCAATATCTGACAAACAATATTGCAAATAGAATTATCGTGAAATAAAATTCGAAATTCGGAATGTGTCTCCCAAAATATTGCTGATATAAAATAATGTAACAAATTCTACGCTAAAGTCGATCTAAAGTGCCATTCGACTAAATTTGGTTCTATAGTGATTCGTTCTCTTAGAAATAATTACACAACGTATCATCCAAATTAGAAAAGAGGAAGGATATCTGCCGGGCCGGCAAAGAGTGCATCGTTTCCGCGACTTCGCTCGCGTGATAATCGCGCAATCGAGAGCTGGACTGTATTAACCTGGTTACGAGCCGTTGATATGAGGAAGGTATTAGAGTGTGGAGAACGGAATGGGACGACCGGGTATCTTTCCCGTTGTAAGCAGAACGGAACCGAGCGTTAATCCGCCTTCGCTAACGATCTCTGAAAATGCATCTTTCGGCCCAAGAACTGCCTCCATAAGTTCCAGCTCTCCTAAGTTTGCTGAAGTCGCTAATCCAATAAAGTAATAGGGGATTAATTTAAAGTTTCGCACCACCTTAAAATATTGAGAAACTGCGAAGGATACCCAGATGAAAAACAAGCACAAAAATATTTTTGTTGTGTAAAATAAATGAATAAAATTTGAAATATAATCCATAATCCAATGCATTTCATAAAATAATAAAAAAAGATGTTACGTAGACAAAATATTTTTAATGAAAAAACGATATGGATATTTCAACAGATACACAGAGTTATGATAGATATACGAATTTCTCATATTTGACACTACTATAAAATGAGATGATACTTGAAATCGACGTTTATGATGGATGGATGAATGAAAGAATTTGATCGCTTTCGAATAAATTTATCGTAAAAGATACGAAGTTTGAATTTTTCACATTGTATACAAGTTTATCTCACACTGTATATAAACATAAATTACGAATAATGCTTTTAGTCAATACTTCTTTAACAAATAATTTAATAAAATAACAATTATTAAAATAATCATTTTTTTGTCTGTAAAAAAATATTATTTTAATAAAGATTTTAATAAAGACTTCTACAAAAAAAAAAGAAAAATTATTTTATACTGCATTAATCTTTTGGACGTGTTGCGACACGTGTGTACAATAATATTTACTCTCTATAAAAATGTACGCGACAAATCCACAGTCGCGTGTGTCGCGTCCATCGTGCGTTTGTTTACAATATTATATACATACACATAAACGGCTATCAATATGTACCATTTCATTGTGAAAAATGTGGTATGTGAAAATTTCGCGGTATGTAATTGGCGATCGTTTGTCATCGAGAGTTCTCGTCTCGAAAGGGAAACGGCGGCCAGGTGAGATAATCTCTCGATCACTCGAAGGCGCGATCGCCGAAGAAGCAATCGATGGCGATTGACGCGACGGTGGCCGGCAAACTTCTCTCCGATGGGAATTCGGTGCCGGTGTTAATTGAGCGAGTTCCTTAAGCGAATACAGGCAACGTCCGACAAATTAGTACGCCTCCTTCCACCGTAGACGACGGACGGCGACGTCCGCGTGCATCGCGGGTGTGCATCGCCTGGCAGTAGGTTGGCACGCAGATAGATGGAAAAAGAGAGGCAAGAAATCTGCCACCACCTAGCCGTCCGCCTCCCTTCTTCCGACGACCACGGTGTGCGACGCGGTGGTGAGGTTTTCTATGCCGCCACAGTCTACCATAAGATCCTGCTCAATTAATAAGTGGCGTGACCGTGGAACCAAGCCGACATTGCGGCCGTAGTTCTTTTTTTTTTGGTGTCAGCAAGTTTTTTTGGTCTCAGCCTCGAGGTTCTCCAGGGTTGCGAATCGAATCTACCACTATTTCTCCGGGGATGTACGACTGACGAGGGAAATTCCCGAGGGTAGGTGGATATTCCATGACCCAGCCGGATTGACCGTTTCGATTTACGATTACATTCCCGAGAAACCGTCGTCGTTAGTACTCGATCGCGCAGTGGGACTCGCGGATCCTTAAGATAATAAATCGAAGGTCAAGATAAAAATAAAAAAAAAACGGGATAGGATCACAGATCATCGCGTGAAGTTCACCTTCCCGTACGGTCCCGCATATAAAACGCGCGCGTGCGCGCGCGGATCTTTTGAAAGTTTATTTTATTTTTGCACTTAAACCCTTTGAGTTAAGTATAGTTATTTTGTGTAGTTTTGCGCGTTATTAAATTTAATCGCAGCTGCTTTCGTGAAATCTGGTAATATAACATACTTGCGGAGTATTACACGCTCCGAATACTTTGACCACACGTGGACCAAATATGCACACGGTTAAAATAAAAATAAAACATATTAAGCTTATAATTTTAATTTATTTAAATGAAATTACTACGTTATTAATATGCTGCTATGCGGAATTGAATAGCCTCATAAATATGAAAATAAAGATTTAATTCGCTATATAACTGTAACTCTCAGCCACGTGAAGGATTCTCGCTGGACAAGACGTATAAGCTTTCTAATAAAATAATAATATGCATAAATTAAGATTTTATTCATCTCAATTAATTTTAAAGGTAAGGAAAATTCGACAAGGAAAATTGTAAGAAAGTCTTTCGCACGAACACGCGCTCGTACTTTTATTCCTTCTTTTTTTTTTTTTAATTACCGTTCAACTTTCAACAGAAACCAAATTGTGAAGAAATTTCCGCGCCGGTGATCGCCTAGAAAGTCTCTGAAGTCCTGATACGTGGAAATATCTTATCGAAGGAAGAAACGATATTCTTGTGTGAAGCGCACCGCGCGAATTTAATTTATGTTTGAGAAATTACCGAGCGCGGAATAATTTATTCTTTCATCGTTCTCCCGGAGCCCGTAATTCGTGCATCACGCACTTCGCGATCGCTGATAAGGAAATCTCGGGGCACGGATCGAATACGTTTAACTGACAGTTCGCGTGTAACCATGATTGGCATGCTGCAGTTTCACTTCCTCTTTTGGCAATAACGTCGCATTATGCCTTATCAGATATTATCTCATAGTGGTCACAGTCCGTGAGAGAGATCTGGGATATCTCGATAGTGTGTACTATTATCACATAAGTGTTGCGTTCCATCGACCAACATGTCGAGTTATTATACATAAAAAAAACGTTCTCCAAATTTCATATTTGCATATATTTAATACACGAAGAATTAAAATATATAAATTTAATTTAAAATTTTTGTGAATATGCACATAGTAGTTCTAAAATAAAACCAAAATCTTTTTTAGTTTTCTTTTTAGTAATTCAATTTTTAATTTTATTTGGCATTTGAGTTTTCAATTTCGCAGAATATCCATCTGCGAATTTAGAGAGATAATATACATTGCGGATTTGCTATTTTAATTGAGAGCAACGTGCACCATGCAAAATGAACGTGACGCTATGTGGACGGCAATTCGATTTTTCGTATGCGAAAGCTCATGGGTTAAGGCATCTGGCATGCATGGGTAATACATGAGTATTCCCTCCAGGATGCCTGAAGCTGTGAGAGGTGGATATACGTGATCGTTCGGTTACGTACTGGACTAACGCTGTTCTGCCTACATATATGGATCGCATATCCATGTAAAACGGTGAATTAAAATATGTCGAACTTATGCTGCTTTCAAGGTAGAGTCCTATGTCACGCATTTTATATTTATTCTCATGTTTGATTTGTTCATCATATATGATTATTTGAATAAAACTAGAAATAATATAAAAACTTATGTTAAAAAGTTCCAAACAAAATTAAATTCAATTAAATACTATAATCAAGATTCTATAATATGTTCGGATTTGCTGAAAAACGATGCAGTGATTATCTAAAATAACGTATTTAAAGAATCATTTGTTAAAATTAAATAATTAAATTAGCAATTTTTAATTACTTGCTATGTTTAAGTCATTAGTTTTTAATAGCGAGTAAACAAATACAAAAATGATAATCTTCACAAAGATATAATTGTGATCATTCTAACTGTAATTCGATTTTGTCAATAGCGACAGATCTATGATAGAAAATAAATAATCTATTCTGCTTTTTCAATTTAATGTGGGTCAAAATCTTGACGATTAAGACCCTTTCTCGAAAAAGTTAACGTTGGAACATCTCTCAGTT